CTACCTCGGTCCGACTGTAAGTGATACCTGACGGTCGGAAGAAATGGGTACAAACAGGAAGTAGGAAAGCGCTGGAAGTCGATTGGACTTCCGCCCGGCCCCTGAAGAGGAAGGACAACTCGATCATTGAAGTAGGAAGGCGCCTAAAGTACTTTGGGAGAAGGGGATCCAAAAGCACCTACTGTCAACGACCAGCGAGTAATGAGTACCCCGGAAAGCGAAGCCAGTTCGCAAAGGCACCCATGGAAGGGGTCAAACAGGGCAGCACAGTTTGGTTGACGCCCAAGGCCGTTCAGTGAACGCCAATGTTTGGGGTCGGAGTGGACGTCCTCCCTTTAGACAAGGTTCGTGGCAGGATGGTGGGGGGGCTGGAGGCATGATTCGTCGCCGAGCACCATGCATTTGAGCCCCCACAGCACGTGGTGGCCTTGTCGCGGGCCTTGGAGGCCCAGGAGGAATGGGGACGACGGGCCCCACTTCCTGGAGCCTTCGTGCATGCTTTGGGGTTGGCACCAAGCCTGTCACTGCGGTGATGAGGGGTCTGACTCATCCCGTCTAGTCGTGCACTCGTCGGCCCTTCTCTCTCTCCCTCTCCTCCGCCCGGCCCTCTGTGCGATCACCCTCTCCGAACGGTCTCGGTCCGTCTCTCTTCTCTGTTTAACCACATTCGGCGGTGGCCGCAGCGGCGTGCCTCTTCGGCAAGCGTGCCGCCTGCCCTCGCATGGAAAGAGCACGCCTTGCGCAAAGGCCGCGGCCAACAGAAAACCTCTCCTCCGCCCCCCCTGTCCCCGCGGCCCTCGCTCCTGTCGCCTCCCGGACGCAGCTCTGCGGACTGGTGGATCCAATACACCCGCACACCTCGGGCGGGTGGCGAACCAGACCACTTCCGCCACCGCCCGAACTCTCCAATCGGTCGGCTGGGCGAGGCTACGTCGGGCCAACACCCACGGGAGGATTTCCGAGGTCTCGTGGCTCGACTACCACTTTCGCCACTGCCTTCCTCTCGCCTCCTGCCTCTCCTCCTCTCGCCTCCTCCGGCTATCTCTCCCCAGCAGGCGGGGCCCGCTGGCTCGTTCGAGATGTCTGGCTTGACTCATAAACTCGTGCTCCTGCAGATGCTGGTGAAGATGCTCCCCTCTTTCTCTGCACCTCCTCTTCCTCCTCTTCTTCCTCCTCCTCCACCTCCTCCTCCTCCGCATCTTCATCGTCACCATCGCCACCGCAACTTTCATCAACATCATCAGCAGCATCAACAACATCACCAGCATCGCCATGACCAACATCAGCATCACCACCAATGTCGTCACCACTAGATCCACCATCATCACAATACTTACCAACATCACCATCATCACAGTTATCACAATCCTCACCAGCATAATACTCAACATCGTCGTCGTCATCATCAGCATCATCATAATCATCATACTCATCATAATCGGCATAGTCATAGTCGTCACCACCACCACCACCACCACCACCCCCACCATCACCATCACCATCACCACAGCACCATCACCACCATCATCATCATCATCATCATCATCATCATCATCATCATCATCATCATCATCATCATCATCATCATCATCATCATCGTCATCACCAACATCATCGTCATCATCATTATCATTATCATCATCAGCATCATCATCATCAACATCATCATCATCATCGTAACCATCATCATCTTCACCTCCACCACAGTCACCCCAATCACCGTCATCACCACCATCATCACCATCATCCTCACCATCATCATCAACCGCACGAATCAGAATCCTCATCAGCATCACCATCATTAGCAGCATCATCATTCGTATCATCAACACCAGCATCGTCATCATCATCATCATCATCAGCATCATCCAATCATCTGTACCATCATCATCTTCATCGTCATCATCATCATCGCAATCATCGTCGTCGTCGCCATCGTCGTCATCGTCATCGTTCTCGTCATCGCCATCAGCATCATCACCAGCACCATCATCATGAGTATCAGCAACATCGTCGTCATCACCATCATCGTCATCATCATCGTCGTCATCGTCATCATCATCGACATCATCGTCACCTTCATCATCATCATCGTCATCATCATCACCATCATCGTGATCCTCCTGCCCCAACTCCTACTGCTCCTTTTTTCCCAACCATCCTGCGGTGTTGGGTCCTCGTTTTGAAGAGACGGTCCCCGCGTTCCTCTCCTCTCCTCTCCTCTCCTCCTCCCCCTCCCCCTTCCTCCATCACAATCATCGTCATCACCCGTTTCAGCGTACCCCTCACACGTTTCGTGGCCCCATAGGGAGCTCCATCGACGGCCCCAATTGGACCGCCCGCATGCGACCACCCAGTACAGCGTCTCGTGGCCACATAGGGAGCTCCACCGAAGGCCCAAATGGGACCGCCCGCATGCGTCACGCACCACCCAGTGCAACGCTTCGTGGCCCCATAGGGAGCTCCACCAAAGGTCCCAGTGGCACCGCACGCACGCGTCACGCACCTCCCAGTACAACGTTTCGTGGCCCCATAGGGAGCTCCACCGAAAGCCCCGATGGGGCCGCCCGCGTGCGTCATGTACCACCCAGTACAGCGCTTCGTGGCCCCATAGGGAGCTCCACCGACGGCACCAGTGGGACCGCCCGCATGCGTCACGCACCACCCAGTACAGCGTTTCGTGGCCCTATATGGAGCTCCACCGAAGGTCCAACTGGGACCGCCCGCATGCGTCACGCACCACCCAGTACAGCGCTTCGTGGCCCCACAGAAAGGAACTCCACCGACGGCCCCAATGCCACCGCCCGCATGCGTCACGCAACACCCAGTACAGCGCTTCGTGGCCCCATAGGGAGCTCCACCGAAGGCCCCAGTGGAACCGTCCGCATGCGTGGCCCCTGGCCAGAACAACGTTTCGGGGCCCCATATGGAGCTCCACCGAAGGTCCAACTGGGACCACCCTCATGCGCCCTCATGGTCCCCGCGTTCCTCTCGTCTCCTCTCCTCTCCTCTCCTCTCCTCTCCGCTCCTCTCCTCCCTCCGCCCGTTACCCCCCTCACTTTGGCACACCCCTCACACGCTTCGTGGCCCAATAGGGAGCTCCACCGACGGTGCCAGTGGGACCGCCCGCATGCGTCACGCACCACCCAGTACAGCACATCGTGGCCCCATAGGGAGCTCCACGGACGGCCCAAGTGGGACCGCTCGCATGCGTCACGCATTTCCCAGCACAGCGTCTCGTGGCCCCATAGGAAGCTCCACCGAAGGTCCAACTGGGACCGCCCGCATGCGTCACGCACCACCCAGTATAGCGTTTCGTGGCCCCATAGGGAGCCCCACCGATCCGTGGCCCCATAGAGGGCTCCACCGAAGGCTCCACTGGCAAAGTCCGCATGCGTCTCCCCCACCCAGCACAACGTTTCGTGGCCCATAGGGAGCTCCACCGAAGGCCCCAGCGGCACAATCCGCATGCGTCTCCCCCACCCAGCACAACGTTTCGTGGCCCATGGGGAGCTCCACCGGAGGCCAGTGGAAAAGTCCGCCTGCGTCTCCCCCACCCAGTGCAGCGTTTCGTGGCCTACCGGAGGCCACAGTGGCAAAGTCCGCATGCGTTTCCCTCAATCAGTGCAGCGCTTCGTGGCCCCATAGGGAGCTCCACCGAATACGATTCTCATAATTGCGGTTTTCACAAGTATATGTGGTTAGGTCCTTCGCCAGGTGAATGTTTCACTCTTCTTCAGCCCTATCCCTACCGTCTTGCCTTCTGTTTCCTCCTCCTCCTCCTTCTCCATCCAGCGGGGGGTTGAGGAGGAGCTCATTGTCGAAGTGGTGGGTCCGAGGAACGTCAGCAGGGCTGCCCGCCTGTCGTTGAAGAGATGCATCAGCTGCAATACCAGCCTCTCCTTGCGCGGGAAGGGTTGGAGACGAGAGAAGGAGGAGAGGGAGGGAAGGAGGGAGGAGGCTGATAATGCGGACGAGGAAGACGGCGCTTTTTCACAATATCGACGTCTGGGGTCGTTTTCGGGCCCCAAGACCTTCAACCAAACCACCCATCCTCACTCCTCCTTCTCATCCCGTCTCGTATTCGTCCTGCTCCCTTCATGTAACAACTACGCAATACGAAAACTACTCTTCTGTCCCCTGATTCTAACCAAGGAATGCCCCGCAAACCCCCCGTATCGTCGGTAACACACACGCGTTCAAACATTTGTCTGTCATTTTTCTTCGATCGGAAGGTAGCCAGTGTCTGAAAATGCCGCGGCTTTGCTCTCATCGTTCGGAATAGCCGCTTCGGCTCAACGCGGGCCACTGTTTTTTGGATCTGGGTAATTCCTCTCTGTTGTCGCCACCTCGTTTTCCCTCCTCCGCCTTGCCCTGGTCCTCCTGTTCTTCCCGCTGCTGCTTGTCGCCCTCGTCCTGCTCCTTCCTCATCTTCTTCCTCTTACTCTGACTCACCCCGCTGCTCATTCGCCACCTAATCTCCAAATGTACGCAGCTCCGTCTGCCGACCGCACGAAACACGATGAGACCCCTGCGGAAGTCAAAGTCCGCTGTGACAACCGTCGGCAGATAGATAAGAAAGTGACGCAATTGGAAGGGAAGAGGCGGCAGGGCAGGATGTCAAATGTGGCGTGTAAGCGCCCCCTCGTCCTCCCTATCCTTCGCCGCCCCTTGAACGGCGCCGCCCCACATATGTAGACGCGGCCCGCGCCTTCTTAGGTGAGCGTTTTTTATTTGGCATTTCGACACGGAAGGGGGGGAAAAGGGGAGTCTGGCTCCGGACATCTGCTTAGTGCGACTGTTTGGAACCGTGCGTCCTCTGGGGGAGGCTCCACCCGCTCGAAACAGGCGCCAAAAAACAACCAAGATCTACTCCATGGGGGGGGGCACGAGGGCCCGGGCCGATCGGCAAAACGAAAGAAACATTCGCCTGGCGAAGGGCCCAACCATATGTAGTTGTGAATACCGCATCTTTTTTTGTGTCCCCCCGGGCGCCGACCTCACCCCCGCGAGGGGCCCTGTCCATAGACCAGGCGAAGGGCGGCCACCCGGCCGGCGCTGCCCTCCCCGGCCGGCCGCCCCAGACTGCTGCGCAGCGCCGCCGGCGCCAAGCTGGCCGGCTCGGCGGGGTCGCCCTCCGCGCCACCCGGACGCGCGAGGCTGCCCACTTCAGTCGGCCCTGGCCCTGGGTCGCCCGGCTCAGGCGAGCAGCTGCGGGGCGTCGTCGGCGCCAAGCTGCCCTCCGACGGCCAGGCGCCCTCTGCGCAGCCAGGCGGCCGCTCGGGGCCGCGGAGCTCCGATGGCTCCAGGCTGCCGGGTTCGGTCGGCTCTGGGCCTCGGGCGAGGTCGGCGCTGTCCGCCCCGGCCTGCGGCGTCGGGCAGTCGCGCAGCGACGACAGCGCCAGGCTGGTCGCCTCGCCAGGCCAGCCAGCGCCGCAGCAAGCCGCCACGCCACCTGCCTCCAGGGCCATGGCTCCCGCGACCGCCACGCCGGACTGCCCCACCGCCGCAACCGCAATTATGGGTTTCGTATTCGGTAGAGCTCCCTATGGGGCTACGAAGCGCTGCGCTGGGTGGTGGAGACGCATGCGAAATTCGCCTCTGGGACCTCCAGTGGGGCACCCTATGTGCCACGAAATGCTGCACTTGGTGATGCGTGACGCATTCGGACTTCGCCACTTGGGCTTCCAGTGGAGCTCCGTATGGGCCACGACACGCTGCACTGGGTGGGGGAGACGCATGCGGACTTTGTAACTTCGGTGGAGCTCCCCATGGGCCACGAAACATTGTGCTGGATGGGGGAGACGCATGCGGACTTTGCCACTAGGGCCTTCGGTGGAGCTCTCCATGGGCCACGAAACATGGTGCTGAGTAAGAGACGCATGCGGACTTTGCCACTAGGGCCTTCGGTGGAACTCCCCATGGGCCACGAGACATTGTGCTGGGTGGGGAAGACGCATGCGGACTTTGCCACTAGGGCCTTCGGTGGAGCTCCCCATGGGCCACGAAACGTTGTGCTGGGTGGGGGCGACGCACGCGGACTTTGCCACTGGGGCCTTCGGTGGAGCTCCCTATGGGCCACGAAACGTTGTGCTGGGTGGGGGCGACGCATGCGGACTTTGCCACTGGGGCCTTCGGTGGAGCTCCCTATGGGCCACGAAACGTTGTACTGGGCGGGGGAAGCGCACGTGGACGGTCCCACTGGGACCCTCGGTGGGGCTCCCTATGGGGCCACGAAGCGCTGTACTGGGTGTGCGGGACGCATGCGGGCGGTCCCACTGGGACCTTCGGTGGAGCTCCCTATGGGGCCACGAAACGCTGTACTGGGTGTGCGGGACGCATGCGGGCGGTGGCACTGGGGCCGTCCGTGGAGCTCCCTATGGGGCCACGAAGCGCTGTGGTGGGTGGTGCGTGACGCATGCGGGCGGTGCCACTGGGGCCGTCGGTGGGGCTCCATATGTGGCCACGAAGCGCTGTGGTGGGTGGTGCGTGACGCATGCGGGCGGTGCCACTGGGGCCGTGTGTGGACCTCCCTGTGGGCCACGAAACGTTGTACTGGGTTATGCGGGACGCATGCGGGCGGTCCCACTGGGACCTTCGGTGGAGCCCCCTAAGGGCCACGAAACGCTGTACTGGATGGTGCGCGACGCATGCGGGCGGTGCCACTGGGGCCGTCTGTGGAGCTCCATATAGGGCCACGAAACGCTGCACTGGGTGGTGCGTGACGCATGCGGGCGGTCCCACTGGGACAATCGGTGGAGCTCCATTTAGGGCCACGAAGCGCTGTACTGGGTGGTGCTTGACGCACGCGGGCGGTCCCATTGGGACCTTCGGTGGGGCTCCCTATGGGCCACGAAGCGCTGCACTTGGTGGTGCGTGGCGCACGCGGGCGGTCCCACTGGGACCTTCCGTGGAGCTCCCTATAGGGCCACGAAACGCTGTACTGGGTGGTGCGTGACGCATGCGGTCGGTCCCATCGGGGCCTTCGGTGGGGCTCCCTATGGGGCCACGAAACGTTGTGCTTGGTGGGGGAAACGCCTGTGGACTTTGCCAGTGGGGCCTTCGGTGGGGCTCTCTATTGGAACACGAAACGCTGCACTGGGTGGTGCGTGACGCATGCGGGCGGTCCCACTGGGACCTTCGGTGGAGCCCCCTATGGGGCCTCGAAGCGCTGTACTGGGTGGTGCGGGACGCATGCGGATGGTCCCACTGGGACCTTCGGTGAGGCTCCCTATGGGGCCACGAAACGCTGTGCTGGGAAATGCGTGACGCATGCGAGCGGTCCCACTTGGGCCGTCCGTGGAGCTCCCTATGGGGCCACGATGTGCTGAACTGGGTGGTGCGTGACGCATGCGGGCGGTCCCACTGGCACCGTCGGTGGAGCTCCCTATTGGGCCACGAAGCGTGTGAGGGGTGTGCCAAAGTGAGGGGGGTAACGAGCGGAGGGAGGAGAGGAGCGGAGAGGAGAGGAGAGGAGAGGAGACGAGAGGAACGCGGGGACCGTCTGTCCAAAACGAGGACCAAACACCACAGGATGGTTGGGGAAACCGATCACAAAACGCAAGGGGTGATTCTAAGGAAACTCCCCCCCATTCCCCCTCTGCCCCCCTCTGCGCGTGGGGGGGGAATCCGGGAGGGTACGAGGGCCCGCGCCGATACGCAAAACGAGGAGAACAAATTAGCCTGGTGAATAACCCAACCATGTGTAGTTGTGAATACCACACGTATGGGTATCGTATTCGGTGGAGCTCCCTATGGGGCCAGGAAGCGCGGCACTGGGTGCGGGAGACGCATGCGAAGTTTGCCACTGGGAACTTCGATGGAGCCCCCTATGGGCCAAAAAACCCTGCACTGGGTGGGGGAGGCACATACCGACTTTGCCACTGGGGCCCCCGGTGGAGCTCCCTATGGGCCACGAAACGTCGTGTTGGGTGGGGTAGATGCATTCGGACTTTGCCACTGGGGCCTTCGGTGGAGTTCCCCATGGGCCACGAAACGTTGTGCAGGGTGGGGGAAACGCATGCGGACTTTGCCACTGGAGCCTTCGGTGGAGCTCCCTATGGGCCACGACACGTTGTGCTGGGTGGGGGAAGCGCATGTGGACTTTGCCAGTGGGGCCTTCGATAAGCTCTCTATGGGGCCACGGATCGGCGGGGCTCCCCATGGTGCCACGAAACGCTGTACTGGGTGTGCGGGACGCATGCGGGCGGTCCCATGGGGACCTTCGGTGGGGCTCCCTATAGGGCCACGAAACGCTTACTGGGTGGTGCGTGACGCATGCGGGCGGTGGCACTGGGGCCGTCGGTGGAGCTCGCCATGGTGCCACGAAGCGCTGTACTGGGTGGTGCGTGACGCACGCGGGCGGTCCCACTGGGACCTTCGGTGGGGCTCCCTATGGGGCCACGAAGCGCTGTACTGGGTGTGCGGGGCGGTCGCGGGCGGTCCCACTGGGACCTTCGGTGGGGCTCCCTATGTGGCCACGGAGCGCTGTACTGGGTGTGCGGGACGCATGCAAGCGGTCCCACTGGGGCCTTCGGAGGAGCTCCCCATGGGGCCACGAATCGCTGTACTGGGTGGTGCGTGACGCATGCGGGCGGTCCCACTGGTGCCGTCGGCGGAGCTCCCTACTGGGACACGAAACGCTGCACTGGGTGGTGCGTGACGCATGCGGGCGGTGCCACTGGGGCCGTGTGTGGAGCTCCCCATGGGGCCACGAAGCGCTGTACTGGGTGGTGAGTGACGCACGCGGGCGGTCCCACTGGGGCCGTCGGTGGACCTCCCTATGGGCCACGAAACGCTGTAGTGGGTGGTGCGTGACGCATGCGGGCGGTCCCACTGGGACCGTCGGTGGGGCTCCCTATGGGGCCACGGAGCGCTGTATTGGGTGGTGCGTGACGCACGCGGGCAGTCCCAGTGGGACGTCGGTGGAGCTCCCCATGGTGCCACGAAGCGCTGTACTGGGTGGTGCGTGACGCACGCGGGCGGTCCCACTGGGGCCCCCGGCGTTGGTGGAATTCTCTATGGGGCCACGAAGCGCTGTACTGGGTGGTACATGATGCACGCGGGCGTTCCCACTGGGGCCGTCGGTGGAATTCTCTATGGGGCCACGAAGCGCTGTACTGGGTGGTGCGTGACGCATGCGGGCGGTGGCACAGGGGTTTTCGGTGAAACTCCCTATGGGGCCACGAAGCGCTGTACTGGGTGGTGCGTGACGCATGCGGGCGGTGGCACTGGGGCCGTCGGTGGAGCTCGCCATGGTGCCACGAAGCGCTGCACTGGGTGGTGCGTGACGCACGCGGGCGGTCCCACTGGGGCCGTCGGTGGAACTCTCTGTTGGGACACGAAACGTTGCACTGGGGGGTGCGTGACGCACGCGGGCGGTCCCACTGGGGCGTTCGGTGGAGCTCGCTATGGAGCCACGAAGCGCAAAACCTGGGTGGTGCGTGACGCACGCGGGCAGTCCCATTGGGGCCTTCGGTGGCTTTCCGTATGGGGCCACGAAACGCGTGAGAGGTGTGCTGAGACGGGTGACGATGATGATTGTGATGGAGGGGGGAGGAGGAGAAGGAGGAGGAGAGGAGAGGAGAGGAGAGGAGAGGAGAGGAGAGGAGAGGCGAGGCGAGGCGAGGCGAGGAGAGGAGAGGAGAGGAGAGGAGACGAAAGGGGAGGAACGCGGGGACTTTCTTTTCAAAGCGAAGACCCAACACCACAGGATGGTTGGGAAAAACGATCACAAGACGCAGGGGGTATTTCTAAGAAGTGCCCCCCCTTGCCCCGCCCGACCCCCTTTGCGCGTGGCCGAAACACTGGGGGCAGCCAGCCACGGGCACGTATGAGCGAATGGCTGCTCCGGTGCCCAGCCTTCGGCGCCGGCTCCAGGCAGGCAGGGAAGAGGGGGAGGAGGAGGAGGAAGCGGAGGAGGAGGAGGAGGAGAAGGGGAGGAGGAGGAGGAGGAGGAGAAGGAGGAGGAGGACACCAAGGACCGAGCGGCGGCGGTCACATGTCGGCCGAGGCTACGGCAGACAAAACGGCAACGACAAGAGCCTCCGTGCGCGCCGAAAGCGCGGGGGCCACCGCTGGAGGACTGCGACGAGCACGATGCGTTCAAAACCGATGGTAAAATGGGCAACCATCCCAAAGGGACCCTTCCATCCGTTCCGTGTTGGTCCATCTCTGACTATTTTGAAGGGCCCACCGCGCTCGGAAAACAAAATTAGCCTGGCGAGGGACCCAACCAGATGTAGTTGTGAGCACCGCATTGTGAATATCACTTTCGGTGGCGCTCCCTATGGGGCCGCGAACCGCATTACGGGTGCGCCGAATTTCGTGGCGGAGTACACAACGCGAAGGAAAACGACCGGTCTAATTTAGGAGCCAGAAACAAAAAACACACAGAAAGGGATTTCGCACAAATGGTTATGGCACCACCAGCGGTGCAACGCATGTGCACACATGCCAGTGGATCCCCACCGATCCGAACCAGGGTTGATGCACGGCCGTGTTCCAGGATGCAGTTGACATGTATGGCGTGGCAAGGCTATCGGCGG